CTGGCGAGGAAGAAGAGGATGGCGTGAGACTGGCGCTAGAGTAGCCTCCACTGCTGCTGGATGAGTTGCTGGGGCCAACAGGCCCGGTGGTTCCAGCACCACACCCGGCAGGGACTAGCGGCGACGTGGAGGTAGACATACCGGAGATGAAAGTTGCTTGGCTACTCGGCGGTAAGAGGGACAAGCCAACAGGCAATTGGAGGGTGACTGGAACAGTAGATGGAGGCGGTGGTGGCGGTGGTGGTGGTGGCAACGGAGGCGGCAACGGCGGCGGCAACGGCGTAAATCGCTCCTCGCCGGTCTGAGATGAATGGCAGATGCCAGTCGGTAAAGCGATTGCTGAATAGCCCGTGGCTGTGGGATGGTAGCCGTTAGCTAGTTGATTCCAGGTGGAAGGTACAGGCACGAAAGCAGTGGTGGCGGAGGTGGTGGAGGGGGCGTCACCGTTCACGCCAAAGCTGATTGCCTGAGCGGGCGAGGAAGAAGAGAAATAGGTGAAAATAACAACGAAGTCTATTGGATGAAGAAGCTAAAGGCTCCGTCTAAGCAGAACTGTGAACATTTGAGGTGGCCAACGTCGAGCGAGTTAAAGATCGACAAGTATAAGAGCACAAAAAAGATTAAGCAAAATGGTGGCCTTTCACAACAGTGTATAATAGTTTAGTGGGGCGAAAAGATGAATAAAGTAAAGGGATGCAGAAGATGAAGATGAAAGAAATCCGATGGCACAGACAAGAGAAATACTGAGGAAATGCTAATGCGGGCAAGCAGTTCTGAGAGCTGTGACACCTCCAGGACTCAGGCGCAGACGAAATAGGTCGAGGTAAAGCGACAACATGGTAGAGAGTACACTGTCGTCCCCTGTTCTGGTGCTAATGAGTAAGACCTCGTGAACCGCACATCTTACCAGACCGACTGTGTGCAATTAGAGAAGTGTTGGCAGCACCCGTGCCTGCTTATACGAAGACAGTCACACTCGTACTAATTTTCATGCACATAAGCATCATGTGCTACAGTGAGATGAGGTAAAGTGGGTTAAAATGAGGCAAGGTAAGGCGAAGTGAGGTGAAGTGAAGGGAAGTTAAATGAGAATGTCTAACAGGCAACTAGACGGCGAGTCAGACGACCAGTTAGAGTGTAGTTCTACGTAGGTCGCAATTGGATGGTTTAAAGACCTGTTGTACCGGGCAGATGAGATGTGGTCTGGGGCTGATTGTGCGGATTGAAAGGCAAGTGGGACTCGGCAGCAGAATGGCGAAGCTACATGACTGAGATTATGTAAAGTTTAGCAGAATTAAAAATCTAAAGGTTCATGCACACACGCATAGACATAGAAACATAAACAAATACAGTCAGGAGTGATAAGTAGAGAAAATCGGTCAGATCTGCGATGGCAAAAGAGCGTTGTAGCTTAATAAATGCAAGGACAACTAAATTGTACGATTCTAGCGGATTGTTTAGAAACGAATAGCAACCCATCGATTCACAAACAACTGCCAGCCCTTGTGTTCACACTCTTCTACACTACAAGTAAGTCCCAATAGCCACATCTTTTCGACCTACCCAAGTAGCCTTGTTACTAGCACATTAATCCCCTCTCCAAGACTGATCCAGATCTCGTCAGGCTAACTAACGAAGGATTCCTTGACTGTATGTGTGCATGTAGACGCTTGCATGTGTGTGCAAAAACACATATGAACGTGCGTGAGGCTGAGCATTAGATTTTTATAGGTGGGTTCCGTGAGAGGGCAGGCAGGCGAAGCAGGGAGAAGTAACTCTTTTAATGCTGAGGGCTGAATGGAGTAGGCTAGTATCTGGCAGCTATGAGTGATGGACGACAGAAGAGATGCAATGTCAGCAGAATGAAATTATAGAAAGAATGCTTAAAGTATAGATAAAGTATATGAATATAGATCTATGAAAGAAGGCAGTCAAAAATCAGGTCAAGATACCAACAGAGATGGAAAGATAGCCAGTAGAGATATAAATACGAACCGTGGTTTACCTTAAAAGAATGAAAGGTTAAAATGTGCTGTAGGATTTTAATGAAAAGAGAAGAAAAATAGCCAAGTATGAAGTACAAATGTTGAGTTATTAAAATGCTGATGTGAGTCACCAAAGACAATAGTTACTATATTTTGTTTATAAGTAGGGTTGTGAGACTACTAGTATATCAGATATAAGTTATCTCCACACTATTTCGTTTAAGGTGATAAAGGAGTGTTAGTTTAATTTTCCAGCAAAGATATTAATAGACCTTACGTTTCCAGTGAAGTTCATATAGCCTTGCTTCCCAAAAGTTATTCTTATCCAGACTGAAGTGGACTGTAATTTCGACCTCACCTAAATCTTATCAACACTATCCAGCGGAACTCGAACCATGAGAAGATATCGTATACTCTAGGCACGTTAATCACTACGCCACATTACCACGAGTTTCCATGGGTCACAAGGCAGATGTGAATTTCAAGGAAGGCCAGTCATTTTTAAATATTACATTCTGTGGTGGGATGGTCGATGAAAGTAAGTAACGTAGTCGTTTGTCATAGTAAATATAACTTTGTTTCATCCTAAATTCCCCCACAGAATATAATATGGGAAAAATGAATGGCCTTGCCTGAAATTCGCATCTGCCCTA